AGAATTAATAAATATATATACAATGGTCAATGAAGTTGTATTTTCAATAACAAAAATTTGGCAGCTATGTAAATGTCCAACAGTGGAATGTTAACTAGGTGGTGTAATAATATGCTGCTATTAAAGATAAAAATTGTATTGAATATTAAAAGCAATGAAAAATGTTCATGATGTGTTAAAGAAAAGAAACATGCCAGAAAATTATGTACACATAATTATTTTAAAACAAAATATGTTCGTATGCATTTTAAGTCTAGAAGGAAATATAATCTGTAATTCTCTCTGTGTCTTAATTATCTTTTAAAATACTGTTTACTTTTTTATACACTATCATATTTTAGCAGTGAATATATATTACTTCACAATCAGCTAAAAGTTATCAAAAAAGGATTGTATCAACTTACACTAGCAATAAATATGCTATTTTCCCCACAGTCTTGCTGCCATTGTTTTATCATCTTCTTTTAGATTTGCTGGTTTGAAAAAGTGCAAAATGGCAACACATAATTTTTTAAATTTTGAATTTCTTAAAATTAATGAGTTCTACATTTATTTTTAGAATTTGTTCTGGTACTGAATAATTTAAAGTACATTATTAAATAATGCAGCTCATTTCCAAAGTAAAATAAATACTTGTTGGGTTCCATTGACCTTAAATTTCAGAATGCCATGCTCTGTGGGTTTGATTGGGACAAAGGTTTATATACACCTCTTTCCTGCGTTCACTGATGTTTTCGTCATTGATAATGTTTTAAAGCATCTATTATGGAAAAACGCATATGCTTTCCTGAGTTATTTTGAAGGAAATCATATAATTTCATCTGCAAATGTTTTGATATCTGTCTCTAAAAGACAAGTGCTTTTTTTCTGAAAAAAAGCATAGATACAATACCATTATCACACCTTAAAAAATGAACAATTATTTCTTAATATCCATTAAATATCCTTCCAGTTTTCAAACTCCCAGTCCATGTCTCTCTCTCTCTCTCTCTCTCTCTCTCGTTTTTCCTCTCGCCTCCCCCATACCCCCAATCTCTGTTGCTCTCTAGTTATTTAGAAACAGGATGCAAATATATATATACACACTGTGCTAAAACCATTAATAACTTTTTAATGAGATCGAGCTCTTTTCTCAGTGCTCTTTTCCTTTTATTTACATGTAGCAAAACATGAACATTTCTTGCAAACGTCACCTTTGCTTTTTGCCTTTCTGATTCATTTTTTGAGGGCTCACCTTTCTAAATTCTTATGTTTTCCTCTCTCAAAATGTGGTTGCATCATGTGCTTTTTAAAGTTCCTCTTCTCTCCTTCCTTCCCTCCCACTCCTTCCATTTTGCTGTCCTTCAATTTCATTTACTCTTCTANTCTCCTTCCTTCCCTCCCACTCCTTCCATTTTGCTGTCCTTCAATTTCATTTACTCTTCTAGTCTCAACTGCTAGAATTTCTGTTCCGATCCCTGACTGCACAGCTGGGCTGAACTAGTTGACTTATTTCTTACTGATAGACACTGGCAAGGCTTTTTCTCTCAGTGATCCTGCCAGTACCTGCCACTCAACTTTCCCAAACTGAGTGACCTTGCCACCGTCCCTTCAGATCAGCTCCTCATTCTAACCTGTTTCTGCCATTGGTGTAACTCCCCTGGAACTCAGGTGACACCTCTCCCCCCCACACAGTTAGTGGTCAAGTCCAGCCGAGGTTTATCCCTTTCCATTCTCAACTCGTGAAAATGGCAAAGCCCTTGAAATCAGTCACTGAAGTTCACGCCCCAGTTTTGTCATTGATAAGCTGGTTAACGTGCCTATCATTTACCCTCTGTAAGAGTCTGTTTTTTATTTTCACTTTTTAAATTGGGAAGATAAAATTTACTTTACAGGGTGAAAATAAAAGCAAATCTATAGAGAATGGCTCACTGATAGTTTATACTCAAAAATGGTAGCTGCCACCACCATCACTGTCATCTCCTTGTACCTATTCTAATTATTATGGTGGTCACCCTCCGATGATTCTGAGCATGTGCACGTACAGAGAACCACCTTTGGGACTCTGACAGATGGCACCTCCATATTTATACCATGTTTCTCTGGGGCTAAGGCATCTCCAGTCCTACCTGACCCAGGGCACCCATCCAGAAATAGCCTACTTAATTTTTTTTNGATGTTCAATCGAAGTAAACTCATCAGACCAAGCACATCGATCAAAGTAAACTCATCAGACTAAGCTCATTGATCAAAGTAAAATCATCAGACCAAGACCACCATCACTGTCATCTCCTTGTACCTATTCTAATTATTATGGTGGTCACCCTCCGATGATTCTGAGCATGTGCACGTACAGAGAACCACCTTTGGGACTCTGACAGATGGCACCTCCATATTTATACCATGTTTCTCTGGGGCTAAGGCATCTCCAGTCCTACCTGACCCAGGGCACCCATCCAGAAATAGCCTACTTAATTTTTTTTATTATGGTAAAATAAACATAACATAAAGTTATGCGGAGTGCATAGTTCGGTGGTATTAGGTACATTTACAATGTCATGCAATCATCACAACCGTTCATCTCCATCTCAGACTGAAACTCTGCTAAGTGAAGTATAATGTTTTCAAGGTGAGATGGCCTGCTTTGATCTCTGTGGATTTATGATTTGGGGAGTGGAGGGTGGGTGACCCATGGCTCCAGAGACCATTATCGTAAGCTTGGCATCCTCTTCTAGGTTTATGGATGCCAAATTGAAACAAGCCTAACAAAACCGAAACATTTTAAGTCCAAATGGAAGAAATAGAGGAACATTTGAAATCAGGACCAACGATACATTTTATTTACTGGTGTTGGCAGTGGCAGCCATGGAATTTTCTTAATTTGAAATAATCCCAACCCTACCTTCTGCCCCAAGAAAATGATGACTGAGGACTGAGAATGGGACTGAGGGTGATGAGGACTGAGGGCTGAGGAAGGGCCATAAGTTGGTACCATGAAGACTATGGGGAAAAATTATAAGGTTCTTTGTGGAAGATCATAGGTGTGGGTAGAAACCAGGTAAAAAGGTGTCATCACTGAAAACGTGGTGAAGAATTGAATTGTATCCACACCTTGGAGAAGCTGAACAGCAGTACATTCATCTTTTTTTGTTATATTGTGAATAATGGATGACTATACCAACCCTGAAAATTGCTTTGAAATATACCAACCCTGAAAATTGCTTTGAAATATACCAACCCTGAAAATTGCTTTGAAATATACCAACCCTGAAAATTGCTTTGAAATATACCAACCCTGAAAATTGCTTTGAAATATACCAACCCTGAAAATTGCTTTGAAATATACCAACCCTGAAAATTGCTTTGAAATATACCAACCCTGAAAATTGCTTTGAAATATACCAACCCTGAAAATTGCTTTGAAATATACCAACCCTGAAAATTGCTTTGAAATATACCAACCCTGAAAATTGCTTTGAAATATACCAACCCTGAAAATTGCTTTGAAATATACCAGCCATGAAAATTGTTTTGAAACATATCAGGTTCAACTTAAAGTTCAATGTCATTTCTGTGAACTGAGTTCCACCTGGTCTGTGATCCAGGGTAAGTTGCTAGCACGCAGGTATCATTTAACAAGGTGCGGCTACGCTTCAGGGTACAAGTTCCCAGATTTGGGGATTTCACAAAACAGTATGTTGTTTTAGATCATGTTATTTAGGGGCCAGCCCGGTGGCGCACTGCTACAGTGCGCCGCTTGGGAGCGCGGCGGCGCTCCCGCCGAGGGTTCGGATCCCACATACAAACCGGTTCCCGCTCACTGGCTGAGCGAGGTGCGGGCACAACACCGAGGGTTGCGATCCCGTTGCCGGTCCAGTCCGGTACAGGCGCAACGCTGAGGGTTGCGATCCGTTGCCGGACACGAAAAAAGACAAAAATAAATAAATAAAAATAAGTCCGGTACAGGCGCAACGCTGAGGGTTGCGATCCGTTGCCGGACACGAAAAAAGACAAAAAAAATATAAATAAATAAATAAATAAATAAATCATGTTATTTACATCAGGTTACCAACATTTTATCTTGTTCAATAAGGACTAAGATCCTTATTTAATAAAGAGGGAAATTAAAACCCAACCAAAACCACTCAACTTCCATCCACTACCGTCATCATTTCCTAAAGGAAAGGGTGTTTTAAAACTCAGAGCATTGGGAGGAAATATATATCGAATGAAGGTTAGTCAGACATGTGGAACACACTTTGATTTATAAAAAGCTCTTTACATGGTTCTTATTTTTCTCATTTCACCAGAGATTTGTAAAAGTTCATCATGGAATTTACCACTGGTTTAGAACATTCTGGAAGCTTATATCGATCTCACACCTACTCCCTGTACTATCACATGTACTATTCTTTTAACTCTCACAACTCATTTATGCAAATGAGGAATCTGAGAAGCAGAGAAATGTAGAAACTAGCCGAGGTCACATGGCCTGTGAAAGCTAAGCTGAGTCTTCTGCTATACTGCGGTGTTCAAACACAGCAGCACACATTCTCTCACCACCTTGAGTCTCTTCCATACTCCTCTCCCCTTCCACTTTTTTACTGAAGAAATCAATTGGCAAAGATGCTGTTAACAATACATTGCTGTATTTGTAAAAAAAAAAAAAAAAAGAAAAAAGAAAATCATGTTAAATCCTGTACCTTCAGATCATCCAGGTTAGGTGGGAGTGGGCCTGGTTTGAGAGAAGAGACACCAGTTTGTCCAGAAAAAGTGTTTTTGACAGGAGACAAAGGGGTATTGCTCAGTGGTGTTGAAGAAGAGTTTGGATTTCTGACCATCTGTTCGTTTGGTTCTCTAAAAAGCAAACAAAGAGGCACTTAAAATATGATCAGATATAGCTGGGGTATCTTGCATTTAGATCAGATCACAAAGTCATTGCCTGTAAGGATCAGGCAGGTAGCAAGTCAGCAGAATGTGGTATGTCGGGGGAAGACAACAATGCAGGCTGGACAACGAGTGACAAGTAAACCTCAAGCTTCATTTTGGGGCAACAGGAGGGAGTGGTAGAGACTTTGGCATATTGGAAAGTGCACGCCCACCTATGATTCAGCAGATGCACTGCCCTGGGGAGGCATGAGCATGCCCTGTGAAGCTCGAATGTGTTCAGCAGTCAGCATAATTGCCAGCATAATCTGAGGGTGACCAGAGATAGGTGAGGGAACCCACATCTCAACTTGACAGGTGAGGATATTGACCATTGAAAAGGTGGCCTAGCCATGTGGTCACAAAACCTAGGTTCAGGAGTCAGTCTTTGAGGCTGTCATTCAACTCTTCGGCTCTGTTGTTTCCCAAAGGTATATTGGAATTGTGAGCCATTCCAATATCACATTCTTACACATTCCACAATTCAGTTTAGAAGTGCCAACCATTTCCTTTTTCCCAAAGGGGCCTCTTATCAAGGGCATTGATTTACTTGCTTTCTCCCAGCCTTAGGGTCCTGAAAAGGTGGGCACGGTTTCTAAATAAAGTCATATTCCAAACATACCAGGTGAGGATAACCATGGTGCAATGCGGGACTTGCTGGGTCCCCAGGTGCTGGACCCATGTGCCGCAGACAGAGAGAAGCCATTCCCAACTTCTGCCCACAGCACCCCCCTGGGCTCCTCTGACTTACTTCAGCTGAGCTTGGTGCATCCCGGGGTAGCTGAATCGGTGCTGCTGCTGCTGCTGCTGCTGGCTGAGGATCTGAAGCTGCAGGAACAGCTGCTGCTGCTGGAGCAGCCGGGCGTAGGCGGAGTCCATGGGCGGAGGGGACTTCTCTGCCTTCTGGTCTGGGGGAATGTACTGGTGGTATTTGAGCTTCTTCACCTTCGGCTTGGGGTCCTTGGGCTTTTTGTGGCGGTTCTTACTGTCAGCCAAGGGCTTGGCCTGCAAAGAGGATGAGGAAACAGTATCTTTCACCATACACTAAAGTCAACTCAAAATGGATTAGAGAATTAAATATACACCCTGAAACAATAAAACTTCTTAAAGAAAACATAGGAGAAACACTTCAGGAAATAGGACTGGATACAGACTTCATGAATATGACCCCAAAAGCACAGGCAACCAAAGGAAAAACAAACAAATGGGATTATATCAAACTAAAGAGCTTCTGCACAGCAAAAGAAACAATTAACAGAGTTGAAAGACAACCAACAGAGTGGGAGGGAATATTTGCAAAATATACATCCGACAAAGGATTAATATCCAGAATATACAAGGAACTCAAACAACTTTACAAGAAAAAAACAAGCAACCCAATTAAAAAATGGGCAAAAGAGCTAAGTAGGCATTTCTCTAAGGAAGATATACAAATGGCCAACAGACATATGAAAAAATGCTCAACATCACTCAGCATCCGGGAAATGCAAATCAAAACTACACTGAGATACCATCTCACCCCAGTTAGGATGGCCAAAATCCAAAAGACTCTGAACGATAAATGCTGGCGTGGTTGCAGAGAAAAAGGAACTCTTATATATTGTTGGTGGGACTGCAAAATGGTGCAACCTCTATGGAAAATGGTATGGAGGTTCCTCAAACAATTGCAGATAGATCTGCCATGTGACCCAGCTATCCCTCTGCTGGGAATATACCCAGAGCAATGGAAATCATCAAGTCGAAGGTATACCTGTTCCCCCATGTTCATCACAGCACTCTTTATAATAGCCAAGAGTTGGAACC